ATAAAGACCGATACTAATATTGCTGTGAAGGCCAATATCTGCCGATTTTAATGTTGGTCAACCGATTTATCGGTCGGGCTCTAGCCATTTGTTTTGAAAACACCATCACAAGTGCTCTACAGACATAGGCGGCATGTCCATAAGCTTTCCCTAAAGTAGCCTAAATTGAATTAAATTGCCCAAATTGTATGCCCTAATTACCCTACTCCTGTCTTTACAGAAATAAAGAAAATAATTCGAAATAGGCTACTACACCAGAAAGCATGATTTGGTCACAGAGGATCATTAGCTTCTTTAAAAAAGACACCTTTAAAAAAAGGTCGGAAGGGACATCCTTGGAGAGCTCTTTGGTCTTGGCCATGGTGGAGAGTTTGGAATCTGATTGATTGATTGCTTCTGTGGACAGGTGTCTTTTATACAGGTAACAAACTGAGATTATGAGCACTCCCTTTACTCCCCCTCTGCTCCTCCTCCCTCTCCTCCTTCCTCTGCTCCTCCTCCCTCTCCTCCTCCTCCTCCCTCTGCTCCTCCTCCTCCCTCTCCTCCTCCCTCTGCTCCTCCTCCCTCTCCTCCTCCCTCTGCTCCTCCTCCCCCTCCCTCGCAGCATGGTACATGGGAAGATAATAGAGCCCTCAGGTCCTGGGGAGCTTGGATCTCCCCCTCTCCTCCCCCTCCACATCCTGCCTATTACTGACTTCCATATTGAGCAGCACAGCTCATTGTTCATCTCTCGTCTATGTCTGCTCTGCTGGGTTGGAGAGCGACAAGAGAGACGCCGGGGAAACGCAGGATTTATCTACCCGCTGGTGTCAGCAGTGGGATCCAGCTCTAACACAGAACAGGCTCTGCTTTGAATCACAGGGTTGGAGAAGGCAGTGTCGCCCAGCCTGGAGGAAAATACACTACATCACCAAAAGCATGTGGACACCACCTGCTCGTCGAACATCTCATTCCAAAATCATGGGCATTAATATGGAGTTGGTCCCCCACTTTGCTGCTATAGCAGCCTCCACTCTTCTGGGAAGGCTTTCCACTAGATCTTGGACATTGTTGTAGGGACTTGCTTCCATTCAGCCACGAGCATTAGTGAGGTCGGGCACTGATGTTGGGCGATTAGGCCTGCAGTCGTCATTCCAATTAATCCCAAAGGTGTTCAATGGTGTTGAGGTCAGGGCTCATTTCTGTATGGACCTCACTTTGTGCATGGGGGCATTGTCATGCTGAAACAGGAAAGGGCCTTCACCAAACTGTTGTCACAAAGTTGGAAGCACAGAATCGTCTAGAATGTCATTGTATGCTGTAGCGTTGACTTCCCTTTACTGGAACTAAGGGGCCTACCTCCTCCCCTAAACTTTACAGTTGGCACTATGCATTCAGGCAGATAGCGTTCTCCTGGCATCCGCCAAACCCAGATTTTTCCATCGGACTGCCAAATGGTAAAGCATGATTCATCACTCCAGAGAAAGTGTTTCCACTGCTCCAGAGTCCAATGGCGGCGAGCTTTACACAACTCCAGCCGACGCTTGGCATTGCACATGGTGATCTTAGGCTTGTGTGCAGCTGCTTGGCCATGGAAACCCATTTAATGAATCTCCCGACAAACAGTTCTTGTGCTGACGTTGCTTCCAGAGGCAGTTTGGAACTCGGTAGTAAGTGTTGCAACCGCTTCAGCTATGCGTTTCAGCACTCGGCGGTCCCGTTCTGTGAGCTTGTGTGTCCTACCACTTCGCAGCTGAGTCGTTGTTGCTCCTAGATGTTTCCACTTCACAATAACAACACTTACAGTTGACCGGGGCAGCTCCAGCAGGGCAGAAATTTGACAAACTGACTTGTTAGAAAGGTGGCATCCAATGACGGTGCCACGTTGAAAGTCACTGAGCTCTTCAGTAGAACCATTCTACTGCCAATGTTTGTCTGTGGAGATTGCATGGCTCGGTGCTCGATTTTATTCCCCTGTCAGCAACGGGTGTGGCTGAAATAGCCGAATCCACTTATTTGAACGGGTGTCCACATGCTTTTGTATATAGAATGTATATAGGTTCAGTCAATATGAATGGGCTGTTTGTGAGCTACTCAGCGCATAGCTGTATAAGGCCCTTGCTATTGCACAGTGGGGGCTGTAACAGAAATGCTGATACTGTATGTAACACAAGACCATACAAATCTTTATGTACATTTGAAATGAACTTGGCAGTAGTGGCATTGTATGTGAGTTCTGTTTTCATCTTGATTAAAGCTACACAACAGGAAATGTGCAAGATGCAAAATCAGAGTATGTGAGTCTCAAATTTGGCCCAGAGCCTCACCTGTACTGGAATGGCTCTTAGCGTAAAATGCATCTTTGGTCTGAAGGGAAGTATCAATCTGCAGTGTTTGTATATGCTTAATGTCCTCCTAGGCAGCTGCAGCCCTGTGTTGAACCCTCCAGAGAGATCTCCCCCCTGCATCACAGTGTAACCTAGACTGTTCAGGCATGTTGATGAATGCACCGCAGGCCATATCAGTCATATAGCCGCAGCTATCAGCGTTCATTTAGTCCAGACCAAATAGCTTCCACTTCCAGCCCTCCCTCCCCCCGTCTCCCCTAGCTCTGGCCAGATTTAGCCGTGACCTTGGCCTGACGTGTGCCGTTCTGTCTGGCCGTTACGGCCGGGGCAATCTCTTTACCTCCCTGTGCCCTGGCTGTCGGTAAATAAAGGCAGCAGTCAGACAGGAAAGGCTGTCCATTGATACTGCTGTGTGTGTCAGGAGGACTGTCCCAGGAGAGACATAATACCCTTATTAACATGCTTCTTGTCATTGGTGCTGATAGCTTAATCAATTTTCCTCCTCTTTGGATGACCTCTATGTTTTTGCACGGGCCGTATGCCCAGAGTGAATGTCCAGGTCATTTAATAACCCTCTATCTCACTCAATGGCTGGCTGTCTCCTGTTCTCTCGCTCTCTCCCCCCTCACGCTCTCTCTCCCCCCTCGCGCTCTCTCCCCCCATCGCACTCTCACCCCATCACACTCTCTCCCCCCTCGCTCGCTCTCTCTCTCCCCCCTCGCTCGCTCTCTCTCTCCCCCCTCGCTCGCTCTCTCTCTCCCCCCTCGCTCTCTCTCTCCCCCTCGCTCGCTCGCTCGCTCTCTCTCCCCCCTCGCTCGCTCTCTCTCCCCTCGCTCGCTCTCTCTCTGCCCCCTCGCTCTCTCTCTCCCCCTCGCTCCTCTCTCCCCCCTCGCTCGCTCGCTCTCTCCCCCCCTCGCTCGCTCTCCCCCTCTCTCTCGCCCCCACGTCGCGCTCTCTCCTTCTCGCCTCCCCCCTCGTTCGCTCTCTATCCCCCCTCGCTCGCTCTCTTCCCCCTCGCCGCTCTCTCCCTCGCTCCTCTCTCTCCCCTCTCCCCCTCCCGCTCTCTCTCCCCCCTCGCTCCCTCTCCTCCCCCTCCCTCGCTCACTCTCTCCCCTCCGCCCTCCTCTCTTCTCCCTTCTCCTCTCTCTCCTGTCTCTCTCCTCCTCGCTCTCTCTCTCTCATCCCCCCTCCCCTCGCTTCGCTCTCCTCCCCTCCCTCCCCCGCTCGCTCTCTCCCCCTCCCTCCTCCCTCGCTCTCTCCCCCTCCCTCCCCTCGCTCTTTTTCCCCCCTCTCTCTTCTTCCCTCCGCTCCTCTCTCCCTCGCTCGCTCTCTCCCCCTCCGCTCGCCTCTCGCTCGCTCTCTCCCCTCCCTCCCCTCGCTCTCTCCCCCTCCTCTCCCGCTCCCCCCTCCTCGCTCTCTCCCTCTCTTCCCTCGCTCGCTCTCTCTCTCTCCCGCTCTCCCTCGCTCCCCTCCTCTCTCTCCGCTCTCTCTCTCTCCTCTCCGCTTCGCTCCTCCTCGCCTCCTCTCTCTCGCTCGCTCTCGCTCGTCTCTCTCCCTCGCTCTCGCTCTCTCTCTCCCGCTCGCTCTTCGCTCTCTCCCCCGCTCTCGCTCTCCCCCCGCTCGCTCTCTCTCCTCATCTCCCGCTCGCTCTCTCTCCTCCTCTCGCTCTCTCTCTCTCCTCATCTCGCTCTCTCTCTCTCTCCCTCCTCGCTCTCCTCTCTCCCCCCGCTCACTCTCTCTCCCCCTCCCGCTCTCTCCTCTCCGCTCCTCGCTCCTCCTCCTCCTCCCTCGCTCTCTCTCGTCTCCCTCCTGCTCCTTCCTCCTCGCTCGCTCTCCTCCCCTCCTCCTCCTCGCTCTCCTCCCTCGCTCTCTCTCCCCCCTCCTCGTCGCTCTCTCCCCTCCTCCCTCGCTCCGCTCTCTCTCTCCCGCTCGCTCTCTTTCCTGCTCGCTCATCCTCTCTCCTCCTCAGTCTCTCTCTCCCCGTCCTCGCTCTCTTCTCTCTCCCCAGCTCTCGCTCCCCCTCACCTCGCTCTCTCTCCTCTCTCTCCCCCCTCCCTCTCGCTCTCTCAGTCTCTCTGCTTCCCTCCTCCTCTCCCTCCCCCTCGCTTCGCTCTCTCCCCCTCCTCCTCTCCTCATCCCCCTCTCCATCTGTCCCCTCCACCTCGCTCGCCTCCTCCCCCTGCTCTCTCTCTCGTCTCTCCTCGCTCTCTCTGCTCTCTCTCCCGCGCTCTCTCTCTCTCTACCCCCTCGCTCTCCGTCTCGCTCTCCTCCGCTCCCTCCGCTCTCCTCTCTCTCGCTCGCTCTCGCTCTTCTCCCTCCCTCTCCTCTCTCTCCCTCGCTCTCGCTCTCTCCCCGCTCTCTCCCTTCTACTGTGTCTCTTTTCCTCGCTCTCTCTCTATCCTCATCGCTCTCTCTCTCTCGCTCGCTCTCTCTCTCCCGCTCGCCTCCTCTCTCTCCCCCCCTCTCCCCGCTCGCTCTCTCTCCCCGCTCGCTCTCTCTCTCTCCTCGCTGCTCTCTCTCCCCGCTCGCTCTCGCTCCCCTCACTCACTCTTTCTCTCTCTCTCGCTCTCCTCACAAATATCTGTGTTCATGTTTGGAATGCATTTATGCACATATACTGTATTAAACATTCTGTGCAGGTGTGTGTAAAGTAGATTTATTGAACTGTTTCTAATGTTGTGTTCCTACAGGACACCGTGGTTTAATGGCTGGGGTTTTAACCTTCCCCGTGGCCAGTCTCTATTGGACAAGTGGAATCAGGTTCCAGAGGGCATAGACGTTCTCATGACCCACGGACCTCCCCTCGGTGAGTTGACTTCATAGAACCCCAAAACACCCCATTATACAGCCTTTCCCACAAGCTGCTAAAACTTATGAATTTGCCAGTATGATTACTGTGTCACTCATTCATTGCACTACTGGAAGCAATGGAAGCAGAGTTAGGGTGACATTTTCCTTACGCTACAACGAGCGACAAGCTACAGTGAGGGAAAAAAGTATTTGATCCCCTGCTGATTTTGTACGTTTGCCCACTGACAAAGACATGATCAGTCTATAATTTTAATGGTAGGTTTATTTGAACAGTGAGAGACAGAATAACAACAACAAAATCCAGAAAAACGCATGTCAAAAATGTTATAAATTGATTTGCATTTTAATGAGGGAAATAAGTATTTGACCCCTCTGTAAAACATGACTTAGTACTTGGTGGCAAAACCCTTGTTGGCAATCACAGAGGTCAGACGTTTCTTGTAGTTGGCCACCAGGTTTGCACACATCTCAGGAGGGATTTTGTTCCACTCCTCTTTGCAGATCTTCTCTAAGTCATTAAGGTTTCGAGGCTGACGTTTGTCAACTCGAACCTTCAGCTCCCTCCACAGATTTTCTATGGGATTAAGGTCTGGAGACTGGCTAGGCCACTCCAGGACCTTAATGTGCTTCTTCTTGAGCCACTCCTTTGTTGCCTTGGCCGTGTGTTTTGGGTCATTGTCATGCTGGAATACCCATCCACGACCCATTTTCAATGCCCTGGCTGAGGGAAGGAGGTTCTCACCCAAGATTTGACGATACATGGCCCCGTCCATCGTCCCTTTGATGCGGTGAAGTTGTCCTGTCCCCTTAGCAGAAAAACACCCCCAAAGCATAATGTTTCCACCTCCATGTTTGACGGTGGGGATGGTGTTCTTGGGGTCATAGGCAGCATTCCTCCTCCTCCAAACACAGCGAGTTGAGTTAATGCCAAAGAGCTCGATTTTGGTCTCATCTGACCACAACACTTTCACCCAGTTCTCCTCTGAATCATTCAGATGTTCATTGGCAAACTTCAGACGGCCCTGTATATGTGCTTTCTTGAGCAGGGGGACCTTGCGGGCGCTGCAGGATTTCAGTCCTTCACGGCGTATTGTGTTACCAATTGATTTCTTGGTGACTATGGTCCCAGCTGCCTTGAGATCATTGACAAGATCCTCCCGTGTAGTTCTGGGCTGATTCCTCACCATTCTCATGATCATTGCAACTCCAAGAGGTGAGATCTTGCATGGAGCCCCAGGCCGAGGGAGATTGACAGTTCTTTTGTGTTTCTTCCATTTGCGAATAATCACACCAACTGTTGTCACCTTCTCACCAAGCTGCTTGGCGATGGTCTTGTAGCCCATTCCAGCCTTGTGTAGGTCTACAATCTTGTCCCTAACATCCTTGGAGAGCTCTTTGGTCTTGGCCATGGTGGAGAGTTTGGAATCTGATTGATTGATTGCTTCTGTGGACAGGTGTCTTTTATACAGGTAACAAACTGAGATTAGGAGCACTCCCTTTAAGAGTGTGCTCCTAATCTCAGCTCATTACCTGTATAAAAGACACCTGGGAGCCATAAATCTTTCTGATTGAGAGGGGGTCAAATACTTATTTCCCTCATTAAAATGCAAATCAATTTATAACATTTTTGACATGCGTTTGTCTTGATTTTGTTGTTGTTATTCTGTCTCTCAGTGTTCAAATAAACCTACCATTAAAATTATAGACTGATCATTTCTTTGTTAGTGGGCAAACGTACAAAATCAGCAGGGGATCAAATACTTTTTTCCCTCACTGTACGTTACATTATTTCAATGAGATTTGTGATTCAAATATTCCATTAATTTACTCTCGGAGAGAGTTTCACTTCCTGATAAAGTGCTTGAGGATAATAGCAAACTTCACAGATTGCGTCGAAAACTTTGCGTTTATCGCTGCGTTTAAACAACAGCGTTAAAACATGGAAAATGTAGCCCTTAGTTTGCCTGACCTGTCTCACTATATGTAATGAATGAAGAAGCTAATGTTCAATTTATTTCCGTTATGTTCATTTGTATTTTAAGTGTGTTAATCAGTCTATTGGTGTGGTTTGGGACAGGTTTCCGGGACTGGGTCCCCAAGGAGCTGCATAGAGTGGGCTGTGTGGAGCTGCTGAACACAGTACAGCAGAGGGTCCGACCCAAGCTCCACGCCTTCGGGGGCATCCACGAGGGTGAGTGTTCTGTACTCTGACCACCATGGTCCTGGTTCTACACCATAACAAATTGATAAAGGACTGAAGTACAACATCCATGTTAGGAAGTCGTCAGATTTCAGGCAAAGCACTTCCTAACATGGATGCCGTTCTAAAGCGTGACACTTAATACTGAATCAGTGGGGGATATCCTGTGCCTGTTATTTGTCTGTGTTTTGACTCTGGTGTCTAATGTCTTTGTCCTCTGTCTGCAGGGTACGGCATTATGACGGATGGATGCACAACTTTCATCAACTCCTCCACCTGTACAGCCAGTTTCCAGCCCACAAACCCCCCCATCGTATTCGATCTGCCCAACCCATAGAGCATTTTTTAAAATTCAGTTGTACTAAATGCTAATCTTCAAGATATTTGTCTTTTGTAAACTGCTTGTAAAAATGCATGAAAATCGGATTCTGGTAATGAAATGAACTTTGTAAAATATTCCATATTTGACATTGGTTTGCGTTTGCTGAAATGGCTGGTGTTCCGTACCATTTGTTTTCTTTGTTTCCTCTCTCAAGATGGATAAGCTCCTTGCCTCACAGGCAAGTACACTGCCTGACAGTATCGGTACTCTTTACATAAGCAATACTTGACCTCATGATGATAATAGAACATGCATTTGGTCTCTGTTAAAGGCTTGTGTATTGTTGAAAATGAAGCCTTTGAAATGAAATTGTATGTTGAAATTTGTATGAAATTGGTCCAATTATTATATACCCAGTATAGAGTAATCCCTTGTGCTCTCACACTGGTGTAGGAGCTTTATGTGTACTGCTGCATCATCTCCATTGATCTGGGGCGCGTTCAGTAGGACGCAACGTTTTGGAACGTTCAGAGAGAAATATGCTATGTGGAACTATCTGCAATGTTCGACCACGTTTGGCTACTGAACGTGGCCGTGTTTTTCTCTAGTCTCTGGCCAGTCTTGTGGTACCGTTTGACATCAAACCATTCATTCTCATGTTACGTTATGAATAATCAGGTGTAAAGAACACTTTCACTTGATGTTCATTGAAAACAGATGCTGTATATTCTCAAGTGCGTTTTCAACATGCATGAATCAGGCATTTTCATCTCACTTTAAGATATGTATTGATATTCAACCAACAGCTGTAAAATATTTGGGATGCCCTCTAAAGTACAATTATAAGAATTTTGCTAATTGTTTTGTTATGTATTTTTCTCCAATTTTTGCACTGTGTGAAAATGCTATCTTGCTAGCACAAAAAAAGTTGCCAACGGTAGTCTTCTCTGTCATTGTAAATGCCTGTTTAGTTTACTGGTTTATGAAACTTTTTTAACTTGATGAATTTAGATGCCTTTATATGCAAATAAAATTCAAAGATTTCTACCTGTTGAATAGCTATAAAAATTTTTGTGTTTTACCTTTGATGATATGACGAATTAATTAAGTCTTAGTTGCCAACTTGTTTCTAAAACTTTGTTGGACCTATTGCTCTTTACCACTTGTCTGGGAAATGATGTCTGATTATCATTATGACAAATAGTCCCTTATACAGTATGCCAGGGGTGTCAAACTAATTTGATTTGAACTCATTCCACAAAGGGCCTAGTGTCTGCAGGTTTTTGTTTTTTCCTTTCAATTAAGCCCTAGACAACCAGGTGAGGGGAGTTCCTTACTAATCAGTGACCTTAATTCATCAATCAAGTACATGGGAGGAGCGAAAACCCGCAGACCCTCGGCCCTCCGTGGAATGAGTTTGACAGGTGCTGTACATTGTCCTCACTTTGTATACTATAGAAGTGGTCATGCACACTAAGGAAACGGTACATAATAATAATATATGCCATTTTACAGACTCTTTTATCCAAAGCGACTTAGCTAATGCTTCCCCTCTCTCTTTCTCTCTCTCCCTTGGATAGAGGTGAAGCTGTATGTCTGCCATGCCCGTCCTGCCTGGGCCAGACTGATTAAGTCTATTAATTAACCCCTGACTGACAACACAATGGATTAATAGGTGCTCTTGATAAGGGTGGCTGTGGCCCTATGCTTTCCTGACAGCCTATTGATTGGAGAGATTTGTCAGGGTGGCCTTGGTCCTGGCACTGATGGATGTCATATTGACTCTCCCCCGTTCGTCGACACCCAGTAGGTGGTCGCTAAAACACCGGCCACCGGCTACTTTCAGAAGTGAGTATTTTTGGTGTTTCCTCTCTCACTATTACAGACTATTACTCAGGCTCCGCAGAAACACAACACCTGGCTGGTACTGCAAGCAATGCGAATGATCACACTGTTGTTCCATAACATTCCCTTGAGTACCCTACAACAATATGAAAAATATGAGATGTTAATTACAACCTCATGTATCTAAAATAATACCTAAAAAATAACTTACCACTCATCCCCGTGGATATGTTTTGTTGTTGTTGAAAGAAGCTGGACCTCAAGTCCATTTATTTTCATTAAAGGTGACTCCAGGCGACCCATCTCTAGTAGGCCTAGACCTAAGTGCTCAGGGCATTGTCAAAGAGAATATATCACAGTTAGTATAGGAGTAATATACTGTACTTAGATTACAAAAGGGGTTCTCAAACTTTTTGGGGCCGGGACCCCTTTTGTGTTAGCAAATTCATCAGGGACTCCCCTCATAATCAGAACACATTTTTACATTACATTTTAGTCATTTAGCAGACGCTCTTATCCAGAGCGACTTACAGTTAGTGAATACATATTTTTTTATACTGGCCCCCCGTGGGAATCGAACCCACAACCCTGGCGTTGCAAACGCCATGCTCTATCAACTGAGCTACATCCCGGCCGGCCATTCCCTCCCCTACCCTGGACGACGCTGGGCCAATTGTGCGCCGCCCATGAGTCTCCCGGTCGCGGCCGGCTGCGACAGAGCCTGGATTCGAACACAACTTGAGTGCGATAAAAATACCCTACAGGGAGTTTTACTATGACGTTTTACTATGAGGAAATGTTGCCATTTTCAAGCTAATTTCCTGTAATTCTACACATTTTGTCCTGCCTCATGACATCTACACATTTTGTCCTGCCTCATGACATCTACACATTTTGTCCTGCCTCATGACATCTACACATTTTGTCCTGCCTCATGACATCTACACATTTTGTCCTGCCTCATGACATCTACACATTTTGTCCTGCCTCATGACAAACAGGGGCAGTGTGTTCAATAGGGCGATATGGGCGACGCACTGCCAAACGGGAAAAGGAAGGGATTTTTTTTCTAATCAAATATATCACGGCAACAGTAGTTATCAGTGTTGTAATCTAGACGTCTGATCTGCCACAGTGCCACTAAATGTCCAATCAGGCTAAAGTCGTGCTTCAAATGGCCCCCCCCCCCTTTTGGGGCGATTTCAGTCAGGTTGAAAATCGCCCAGAAGTCTGTCATAGACTCCCATGTAAAATCTATTTTTTTCAAATATCAGAGCTTTCAATACAATCTCTATGGGTTTCTGAGGGCTTGCACTTACGCGCTTTCGTCATACGTAACATATAACCATGAACGTAACTAAGAAAAGAGCGGGTAGCAGCGTCAATCAATTCACTACTTCTATCAAAATGGCTAGGCTTCAGTGCAACTCGATTGTGTCTTTGAAAGAAGTTCCTTTTTGTCGGCGAACAAATGAAGATAAATTGGCAACGAAACAATTAGGACCTCCCAGACCAAATTTAATAATTCAACAGGTTTCTACTAAAGGGGGGAAGTCCTACACCCGAGGATTTTCCAAAAATTGGTACGAACGAAAAACCTGGCTAGCAGGCTGCGATGTAGCTAATGCAGTCTTCTGCTACCCCCTGCTTACTCTTTCACCCTGAAGGCGGCACGGCAGACAGCACCGCTTGGACAGCGACTGGTGTGTAACGGACATGCACCATCTTTCAGGAAAGATTAAGAAACATGAGCTGTCAAAGACCCACATGGATAGCTGTTTGAGATTGTCTGCTTTGGGGAGAGTGAACATTCCCACTCAACTGGATGAGGGATACAGGCTAGCTGTCCGCCGCCACAACGATGAGGTTAGTGTTGATAATCACAAGTTTACTGGAGAACTGAAACTGACAAGGCTGACAAGATAGGACCCTTTTGTCCATTGTTATTGGATAGGAACAGAACTTATAACCAGCTCCTGACCTAAATAGATCTTAGCACAACATTTTACTCAACATATCATATTCCATATTCACTATAACAAATATATTTACTACGACATTAGCAAGAACCGCCACATCCTCAGCCGGCTAATCCAGTGTGTGAAGTTTTGCGGAGTGTTTGAGTTAGCTTTGCGAGGCAAAGATGAAACTGAGGGCTCCACCAACCCTGGTAAGCCAACACTTTTGAGATCAGTCAATAAATGCTTCTGGTATTGACTTATATGCTGCCCCTGTCTTCATGTTGTTGCTGGACATATCTTTTTTAAAATGTGTGTAGGTCACCTAAATCATCAGAAAAATTGCCCCCCCTGAGAATTTTTTCAGGAGCTGCCACTGATGACAAAATGTGTAGAATTGCAGGAAATTAGCTTGAAAACTGCAACATTTTCTCTCTGATTGCCAAGAGGCAGGCCTTTTAAATGTAATTTTTCGTCCAGCCATGTACTTCAGACGTCATAGTAAAACTCCATGTAGGCAATTTTTATCGCTCTCGAGTTGTGTTCTGATTATGAGGTGGTCCATGATGATTATTTTAAATATTTTGTTGTTGCGGCTTTAAAGCTAGTATCCTGCAATTCCCAAAAAATTATCCATGAGGTAGAGAGAAAACGTTGTAGTTTTAAAGCTTAAATTAGTGCATTTATGTAAAAATAAAATAAAAAATCATTTTGGGGGATAGTATTGAGTTGAAAAATTGATAATTGGTGGAGTACTTTGGATACCAATATCCCTTTGAGCCTCCCGGGCCCACGTTGCCCAGGGTTAAGAACATAAATTGTAGATGAATAATATTGTATTGTATTGCACACTTTAAACTTATTCCACAGATCCCTTGGTCGTTTAAGTCGTTAGTAATATTCATTAAAAAATGAATACAAGAATATGTATATTTTCAAATCTGGCTGTGGACCCCCTGCAGTACCTCTGTGGACCCCACTTTGAGAACCCGTGAACTACACAACAAGTCTGGTATTCATCCATTCAGTTCCTATCACCATGTCACCCTGATTAAAACTGAAGTCCGTAAAGGGGGAAAAGGCGCCACTGTTCGCCCAAGCACCTTTGTGATTGTTTTGTTGACGAAATGGAGGAGAGGAGCATCTAGCATTGTGGTTTGTAAAGTCGCAGTACATATTCTGCTGTTTATCGCACGTGCAATGATGTCCAAGGTGGACAAAACTGTTGTTTGAAGAAACGTCTTTGCACGACTCCAACACCATCATTAAGTTTGCCGACGACACAACAGTGGTAGGCCTGATCACCGACAACGATGAGACAGCCTATAGGGAGGAGGTCAGAGACCTGACCATGTGGTGCCAGGATAACAACCTCTCCCTCAACGTGACCAAGACAAAGGAGATGATTGTGGACTACAGGGAAAAAAAAGAGGACTGAGCACGCCCCCATTCTCATCGACGGGGCTGTAGTGGAACAGGTTGAGAGCTTCAAGTTCCTTGGTGTCCACATCACCAACGAACTATCATGGTCCAAACACACCAAGACAGTCGTGAAGAGGGCACGACAAAGCCTATTCCCCCTCAGGAGACTGAAAAGATTTGGCATGGGTCCTCAGATCCTAAAACAATTATACAGCTGCACCATCGAGAGCATCCTGACTGGTTGCATCACCGCCTGGTATGGCAACTGCTTGGCCTCCGACCGTAAGGCACTACAGAGGGTAGTGCGTATGGCCCAGTACATCACTGGGCCAAGCTTCCTGCCATCTAGGACCTCTATACCAGGCGGTGTCAGAGGAAGGCCCTCAAAATTGTCAAAGACTTCAGCCACCCTAGTCATAGACTGTTCTCTCTGCTACCGCACGGCAAACGGTACCGGAGTCTAGGTCCAAAAGACTTCTCAACAGCTTCTACCCCCAAGCCATAAGACTCCTAAACAGCTAATCATGGCTACCCGGACTATTTGCACTGCCCCCCCCCCCCATCTTTTTACGCTGCTGCTACTCTGTTAATTATTTATGCATAGTCACTTTAACTCTACCAACATGTACATATTACTTCAACTACCTCAACTAGCCGGTGCCCCCGCACGTTGACTCTGCACTGGTACCCCCCTGTATATATAGCCTCCCTACTGTTATTTTATTTTACTTCTGCTCTTTTTTTCTCAACACTTTTTTTGTTGTTGTTTTATTTTTAAATAAATGCACTGTTGGTTAAGGGCTGTAAGTAAGCATTTCACTGTAATGTCTGCACCTGTTGTATTCGGCGCATGTGGCCAATAAAATTTGATTTGATTTTTGTAATATCGCAAACGGACGTGGCAGTTTCACCAACTATGGATCATTTTGCGTCACCATGGTGATGTGGCCGGTGACACTTTGCTTCTTGAACGTCCAATATCTTGAAAACTTGACTGCTGACATGCAAAACATTTTGGCACTGTATCAACAGTGGACTAATGAACATATGGGGATTTTAGGGATGTATCAAAAAAACTGCTACACAAACAGATGGACCATATGAGGAGAGAGACAGCTATCGGAAATCCTGAGCCTGCTGATTTAATACTGAGGAAGGAAGAGTAGAAGAGACGAGGGGGAGAGGGTTACTGAACCTTCCCTTCCCACCCTGTCTGTCTTCAAGCCACTCTGCTGCCTCCTGACGTCTACCCAATCCTGCTCAGGAAATGGTATCCTGCCCCCTTCTGGCCATACATCTAACATGCTACTTCGCGTGTGAGAAGGACAACAATGATTGGATGACCATCCTTTATGTATTGGAGATGGGGCTAAACAGTTTTCAATAACTCTCTTTATTCATCATACGCAGGCTGTATTTTTTTTGTTTTGCGATACATACACTACCAGTTAAAAGTTTGGACACACCTACTCATTCCAGGGTTTTTCTTTATTTTTTACTATTTTCTACATTGTAGAATAATAGTGAAGACATCAAAACTATGAAATAACACATGGAATCATGTAGTAACCAAAAAACTGTTAAACAAATCAAAATATATTTTATATTTGAGATTCTTCAAATAGCCACCCTTTGCCTTGATGACAGCTTTGCACACTCTTGGCATTCTCTCAACCAGCTTCACCTGGAATGTTTTTTAACAGTCTTGAAGGAGTTCCCACATATGCTGAGCACTTGTTGGCTGCTTTTTCTTCACTCTGCCGTCCGACTCATCCCAAACCATCTCAATTGGGTTGAGGTCGGGGGATTGTGGAGGCCAGGTCATCTGATGCAGCACTCCATCACCCTCCTTCTTGGTAAAATGGCCCTTACACAGCCTGGAGGTGTATTGGGTCATTGTCCTGTTGAAAAACAAATGATAGTCCCACTAAGCCCAAACCAGATGGGATGGCGTATAGCTGTAGAATGCTGTGGTAGCCATGCTGGTTAAGTGTGCCTTGAATTCTAAAACAATCACAGACAGTGTCACCAGCAAAGCAGCCCCACACCATAACACCTCCTCCTCTATGCTTTACTGTGGGAGATACACATGCGGAGATCATCCGTTCACCCACATCGCGTCTCACAAAGACACTGCGGTTGGAACCAAAAATCTCAAATTTGGACTCCAGACCAAAGGACACATTTCTACCGGTCTAATGTCCATTGCTCGTGTTTCTTGGCCAAAGCAGGTCTTTTCTTCTTATTGGTGTCCTTCAGTAGTGGTTTCTTTGCAGCAATTCGACCATGAAGGCCTGATTCACACAGTCCCCTCTGAACAGTTGATGTTGAAATGTGTCTGTTACTTGAACTCTGTGAAGCATTTATTTGGGCTGCAATTGCTGAGGCTGGTAACTCTAATGAACTTATCCTCTGCAGCAGAGGTAACTCTGGGTCTTCCATTCCTGTGGCGGTCCTCATGAGAGCCAGTTTCATCATAGCGCTTGATGGTTTTTGCGACTGCACTTGAAGAAACTTTCAAAGTTCTTGAAATGTTCCGTATTGACTGACCTTCATGTCTTAAAGTAATGATGGACTGTTGTTTCTCTTTGCTTATTTGAGCTGTTCTTGCTATAATATGGACTTGGTCTTTTACCAAATAGGGCTATCTTCTGTATACCCTGGAATGAGTAGGGTTGTCCAAACCTTTGACTGGTACTGTACAACACAAATATATACAAATCACTTGAATGAGCTTGATGGGTCATGTTTTGACATTGTTACTGTATATGTAACAACATCAGTTACCCTCAGTGTAAAGTAATGTATGAACTTGATTCATTATTTGTCCTGGAGCTCCGTGGCTTAGAGGCTCAGCTCGCTGTTGGTTTGTCCCAGGATCCATGCACTCGCCTGCAGCCCCTGAACCTCTGTCTCCCTGAGTACACCTCCTCTATCCCACACATGCCCTGGGAAACACACACACACACGAACGCACACACAGAGAATACATAATCACAATACACACAACATGTAAAAACATAAAACGATTAACACTGTAATATTTTTCTACACGCTCTTTGCAGGTCTACCTACCTTGACGAGGGTGGACACAGGGTGAATGGTGCGGAGGTTCTTCGGTATAACCTGTGCTGCTGGACACACTCGGACCAATGACCCAGGAGTTGTGCCCCTTCAGCCGGATCACCTCATAAGCACTTAAGAGACATTTTCCACTGCTTTCGAGTTCCACATTACTGTGTGTGTATACATACTCAAGATAATACTGACTTGCTCTAACTGTAATCTATGCCCCTGTTTCTAGAGATCAAGTGGTGATACACATTTACTTGTGACAAGGACAATGCTGATCTTTAATACCTGTCTATGACTGCCTGGTGTACATCTGCCCAGCCCTCTGAATCCTGCCCAGCCTCCAGCTCTCTGGTGATGCTCTCCAGATGGACCCCAGCCGCAGTGGCCCCACTCCACACCGCTACTGTGTGGTCAGAAGAGGAAACAACAATTACAATATGACTACCAAATCACGAATGAATGAACTAACAACCTAAGTGTTCATTATGCATTCCAGAAGTATTTAATTGGTCCGGTTAAATTCAATGTATGTTCAACCGTTTAATGTTCCTTTGATTGTTCAGATCAATAATATTTTTGCATGGATTGATTGTGATGCTGTTTTTGACATGATACAGGGGAGTGTCTCACCACTGGAGTCCCCGTGCTCTCCTATGATGTGTCTGTGGACAATGCTAGGGTGGATCTGCAGTCTCTCTCCGTCAGGTAGCGGAACCGTGCTGAGTCCAGATTGGTTCCGCTGACCCTCTCCTGAGGGAACCCACTCAGCTACCAGGCCACATAGGTCAGCACATCCACTGGAGTGCCACAGAGTACAGTACCATCGGGTTAGCAACCAGCCAGGGTTAGAAACAAATATATACATGCTCAATTACTATTGGACAGGGTTTATCCACGCTAGGAATAAACATTTACATAGGGAAAAGGAGTCATATAACTAACTAAGTTTGACTTGACTCGTCTCATCAGTCTGATAATATCCTACTCACTTCTCCCTATACTAATATAAGAAGTGGCCATGGTATAGTGAGTTACTAGGGTTGGATACGACCAGGAGGATGGTGTCAGGGCTGTGCTGGGCCAGTGGAGGGACGATCTGCTTCAACACCTAAATGTTCCTCTGGACCAGATCCAGACGACTCTCCCCCTGCCTCTGACGCACCCAGTAATGACGCACAGCTTGGAGTTGGCTGTGTCTGAGTAGTCTAAGTCTCCAAATTTGTACATCTAGGGATTTCATAGTTTGTCACTCTGGACACATTTTCGCACAAGAGTTTGAAATGCAAAAAGCATTTATAGCACTGTATTATTTTAAAGGAGTCACCCCACATACACATAAGCATGCGCACACACACACACAGGCACTGAGCCAGGCTATGGCTGACCTCTGGCGGCTGTGATCTTGGAGGTCTTCAGGAAGAGGCTGGCATGCTGCATGTCCAGCACCTCACCATGCAGTTTGTCCTCCACGGCCTCCACCAGGGTGACTTCATCAGCCACACCCTTCACAGCAAGTCACAGGGTAAGTGATAAGCTATACTAGTCTGTTTATCATCAGTATTCATAGGAATGATTAGCGCCAATTAAATGTATTTGTTGGAATGGCGTGGCACTGTATAACAAGCTCAGAATAGAAATCTAAAGTCGTTGGTGCTCTGTGATATGCACAGTGGGACTCACCTACTGTACGCTACTGAGGGCACATGCCATACCAACGTTACCCACACCCAAGATGGTCACTTTGGTGTTTCCACCACCTCCTGGTGTAGGACTGATGTTTTTAATAATTTAATATGCCATTTAGCAGACGCTTTTATCCAAAGCGACTTACAGTCATGCGTGCATACATTTTTTTTGTGTATGGGTGGTCCCGGGGATCGAACCCACTACATTGGCGTTACAAGCGCCGTGCTCTACCAGCTGAGCTACAGAGGACCAGGTGAAGGAGTTTATCTCTGACAGTAGCCATGGCATCTGCTTTTGTTATAGTGGATAGAATAGGGACAAAACAACATGTAATGCTTCTTCTATACAGTGTTTGACGTAGTGGCACCATCATGCAATAACCAGGCGAATACAATGTAACTATACTGTTTATAACTAAATGGACTGACTGGGGCTACTTTATTATAACCAATTCACTGTAAGTATCCCCAGCCTGCTGACAGTCCAGTTAGTTAGTTAGTTGCATTGTATTCACCTGGTTATTAGATGATATGTTAGGAGATGACTTTTTTTTTTTTTTTTTATAATAATGTATGCACTCACTAACTGTAAGTCGCTCTGGATAAGAGCGTCTGCTAAATGACTAAAATGTAAATGTAAGGAGATGTAAAGTTCAACGATGTATTATTTCTTAAAAGTGAAGCCTTTTCATGTTATTGTAGCCTCGTGAAGTTCGATGCCCTTGCGGTCATGGGTGCAATGACTAAGGAATAACCAATGTTCCATTTTGACACTAGATGGCAGAAAATTCATTCCTAAAAGTTTCAAATGGCAACGAACTCTATCCTAGGACAAGGAAGCAGTGCCCCAAAAAAGAACTATTGAAAAGAAGCGCTCTTTGTGGTGATGGGGATGGAAAGTGAAGTCTGTGCTGGTGCACGGTGCGTAGCATATATGTGCATGGATATTCTGCGAAAAATTGGATTTTATTGGGGTGAGTATCTTATTTTTCACGATTTTTTCCCCATACAGTGGTATGATATGTTGTTGGATGGACTAAGCTAATTCTGATGTGCATTCGTAGTCTTTTTCATTTTTTACATCGCGGTTTCAGTCAGTCACATTCTATATTCATATTGTAGGCTACGTCTAATGGTAAACTTGAAATAAGTTTCTGTAGTCTGTAGCCTATTTGGGTTACTTTAGTTCAGTGACAGTGATAGTGTGGAGTTTTGAGAATCATCGGTGTTCTTAAACGATCATAATGATGATGATGATGATGTATCAATTTAATGCAACCTTGCATATAGACATACAGTGCCTTCGGAAAGTAGTCAGACCCCTTGACTTTTTCTACATTTTGTTACGTTACAGCCTTATTCTAAAATGGATTACATTGTTTTTTCCTCATCAATCTACACACAATACCCCATGATGACAAAGCAAAAACTTATTTGTAGACATTTTTGCGAATTTATAAATAAAATACAACTGAAACATTACATTTACATAAATATTCAGACCTTTTACTCAGTACTTTGTTGAAGCACCTTTGGCAGCGATTACAGCATCGAGTGTTCTTGGGTATGACGCTACAAGCATGGCACACCTGTATTTGGGAAGTATCTCCCATTCTTCTCTGCAGATCCTCTCAAGCTCTCTCAGGTTGGATGGGGAGCGTTGCTGCACAGCTATTTTCAGGTCTCTCCAGAGATGTTCGATCGGGTTCAAGTCCCTGCTCTGGCAGGGCCACTCAAGGACATTCAGAGACATGTCCCGAAGCCACTCCTGCGTTGTCTTGGCTGTGTGCTTAGGGTAGTTGTCCTGTTGGAAGGTAAACCTTCGCCCCAGTCTGAGGTCCTGAGTGCTCTGGAGCAGGATCTCTCTGTACTTTGCTCCGTTCATCTTTGCCTCGATCCTGACTAGTCTCCCAGTCCCTGCCGCTGAAAAACATCCCCACAGCATGATGCTGCCACCACTCTTCTTCACCATAGGGATGGTACCAGGTTTCCTCCAGAGATGACGCTTGGCATTCAGGCCAAAGAGTTTAATCTTGGTTTCATCAGACCAGAGAATCTTGTTTCTCATGGTCTGAGAGTCACTCAAGGATGATCAATGGAAACAGGACGCTCCTGAGCTCAATTTCGAGTCTCATAGCAAAGGGTCTGATTACTTATGTAAATAAGGTATTTTTTATTTATTTTTTTAATACATTTGCTAAATTTTCTACAAACCTGTTTTCACTTTGTCATTATGGGGTATTGTGTGTAGATTGCTGAGGAATTGTTTTATTTAATCGATTTTAGAATAAGACTGTAACTAAACAAAATGTGGAAAAAGTCAAGGGTTCTCAATACTTTCCGAAGGCACTGTATATATATATATATATATTTTCATTACATTAGGTACATTTTCCATTGAACAAGTTTAGGTTGCCACTGCCAGAGGTTGATTACTTATCTTAGATACAGTTTAGATCAGCTGTCCTATCTGTTGGGATCTCAAATAATCTGAATTGTCTTCAACAGAGTCATGAGAAGACAACAGCCTCCATGGGGCACAACATCTCTGACTGCAGCATTGTTGTGATTTACATGGTGCGTAACTCAAGCTCTTCTCTCGGACTGAAACATGCTTATCAGATCTCATCATTACTGTGTTAAACCCTATCACTTCCAATGAAGGCAGGGCATCACTGCTGCAGGCTGCATCCCTAACTAACCACCATGATTCAGAGACCAGCGGCCCCTGGTACCCAGTCTCTGGTCAGTCCTGTGGCCCAGTCCTCAATGCAGCACCTCTGGGTTGACCCTGAAGAAATAGAACTATGGTTGACCTCACCTCCGCCAGAGCCCCAGAATCCTTTGGGAGGTATCGGATGTGATCATTCCTTTGGAGAAGTGGTGTATCCGTATTGACAACCTGGGAAGGAAGTAGGCTATCACATGTGAAGGATCTGGGATTTCCCTTCCCCTTAGGGATTATTGGGTTGTGGATATTGATGAATTGGGACTGAGCAGGGAAGAGAGAGGGTATCTGGCATTCAGCCTGATATGGAACTGGGAGTGGAGGGGAGCCAGCATCAGCACCAGAGGAGGAAGCCTGTGACACATGCACTGGAGGAGCAGAAAAAGGTAAATGGAGTCCATCGCTTTCTGTCTCTCTGTCTGTCCGCTAATGACCTCTTCATCAAGATGACCACTGCTTCACAGTGGTAATAATGTTACAAACAGGAGCTTGAGGGGATCTTCTGTTTGATTCACCCCAAAATTTTTTACATTACTGTTATATGATTGTTATCCTGCTGGTGTGGTTGATCAAATCAGTGGCAGCAGTTGAATTCTGATGACATCCAAATGTGTGTACAAGTCACAGCAGTTTCTGAATGTTTTGAACTTTTGAAACTGAACAGGACAAAATCGACTGCATAATGGTACGTTTTATTGTAATCTGTTGGACAACTTTTAAAATGGTATGTACGAATGATGCATGATGTCGGTGGTGAAAATGACAGTAACAAAAGTATGCTTATTCTTGGCTAGATTCAATCTGCATGCAGAGTTAGGTAGTTTATGTATTTATTATGAGAGTTATTGGGGATCCCGTCCCCCATCTGTTCAGGCTTCAGACCAGGATGTTATAAGAGGGTTCTCTACGGTAGCTAGGTTGAACCCCCACCCCACCCCCATCCCATGGCTGGCAGCTGGGGCAGCATATATTGGTCACGCTTTGGCTTTGGTGAAGCTTCAACATTGAACTGTGGGGCTGTCGTAGAGATTAGGTAATTTGCCTTGATAAGTACGTGCGATCACTTTCAATGACTCCCCAAGTGAAAGTCTCCCTTTGAACAATGTAAAGCTCAGTGTTGAGTCTTATTATGTCAGCCCCCTCTCTCACGCCTTATGGCAGCCTGATTGCCTTGTACTCCTGCCTCATTGTTGGCCCTCATTTAGCCCACCCTCGTTTGTCATCAGATGTCTATTTAATCTTAGGATGATTAAATGTTCTATTTGTTCAGACCAGTGGTTTCTATGATTCAGTGTTCCTGGGTTCTTGAGAGGTACAGGTAAAAGAAGGCTGCTTGTTAACTCATCATAAACCTTCAATAGTTTGCCAAAAGAGTAGGTTTCTGTGACTTGATGCTTTGGTTTATCCCCCTACTGAATTATTGATAGGTCCAGTGATCTTAATAATCTCTGATTGTGATGGTAGTATCATTACTTAATGGACTCCTAACCTGCTCTAACATCTTTTAGACCAATAATTCCTACAATGAACCATATTAGTAATCCATCTGGGATGACATTGGCTACCTACAAAGCTACAGTGAGTACTACTGGAAAGGGAAATACCTAGTCAGTTATATAACTGAATGCATTCAACTGAAATGTGTCTTCCTCATTTAACCCAACCCCTCTGAATCAGAGAGGTGCTGGGGGCTTCCTTAATCAACATCCACCTCATTGGCGCCCAGGGAACAGTGGGTTAACTGCCTTGCTTGGGGCAGAACGACAGATCTTTACCTTGTCAGCTCGGGGATTCAATCCAGCAACCTTTTGGTTACTGGCCCAACGCTCCTACCCGCCAGACTACCTGCCGCCCCTACTGGAGCTTGAATGTTGTTCTAACTGTAGATTATTTGTCATTTTGTTCCAAAGTTTGTCAACTTCGGCAATTGTTTTCACAGCCCACTTGTGCTCCAACTGTGTTTACACAGGCAGCCCAATTCAGATATATTTTTCCACTAATTGTCCTTTTGACCAATCAGATCAGCTCTTTTGCCAATAATTGGGCAAAATTTCAGAATTTGTCTGCCTGTGTAAATGCAGCCTTATTGGCACCTTTCCAACAAAGCAAACATTTCATAACAATTTTGTTGAGTGGTTGAACGTTGTCATAAAGTCTCACATCTTCCCGAGTGGCGCAGTGGTCTAAGGCACTGCATCGCAGTGCTAGCTGTGCCACTAGAGATCCTGGTTCGAATCCAGGCTCTGTCGTAGCCGGCCGCGACCGGGAGACCCATGGGGCGGCGCGCAATGTGCCCAGCGTCGTCCAGGGTAGGGGAGGGAATGGCCGGCAGGGATGTAGCTCAGTTGGTAGAGCATGGCGTTTGCAACGCCAGGGTTGTGGGTTCGATTCCCACGGGGGGCCAGTATGAAAAATAAAAAAATTATGTATGCACTCACTAACTGTAAGTCGCTCTGGATAAGAGTGTCTGCTAAATGACTAAAATGTAACATTTGTTTATCTTTGTGTGTTCTAACCTTGGTACACATCTATACATGATTATTTTATTTCATTCTGCAAGCTCTGGAAAGGAAGTGAAGCCATTTCCTGCAGTCAATTGACCTAGTGGCCTCATGGGTGGAATGCTATTAATATTTTTCATAATTTCATAATTAATAAACTTTTTATTATTTTTTATATGCTGAAAATCCAGTATTTCTATGTCAAACGGTTTTGTTATATTTCAGTCTTCTGTGATGTATATAAAGTGTAATATTGGGATGCAAACTCAAAATGTAATACATGGAACAGGTGTCTTCTTCTTTTTATAAGCCCATAACCATGTGTGTGAGGTGTATACTTTAGTTTCAAAGTAGATTTGTTTAAGACTACCAAGAAAGACTCTATGTGACCCTGATTTAGCCCACTGCAGTAAAAGGTTTTAAGATGGTGTGATGGAGTTGATGTGAAGTCTCGTGCTGATCCTACGCAGTGTTGGAGAGAGCTCTCCCTCCTCTGCCTATTCCCCACTATGGCTGAATGGAGTTGGAGGAGAGGACTTCTGTGTGAACTAGGTTCCTGTCAAGCGCATTAGCCGTAGCCACTGACATTGAACCTAATGAGTTTGTAGGGCCAGGAAAGAATGGTGTATTGTCCATAGTTATGGAGGGCCAATAAAGGGATCCTGTCATAAGATGTTAGACTCTACACACAGCCAGAGTTTAGCTTTGACTTTGACATCACGATCGTTTGAAAAAGTTCAGCCTAAAGTATGAGGTTAAGAGTGCTGTGAGCTGTTAGATGATGTGATTGAGGATGAGGAGTACTATTCCAGAAGGTTACTCCGATTAGTTTAATCTATTCATTCATATTAATCCGTAATCTATCTGTGTATCATATTTCATAAGTCCATAGTCATATTTTTCAGTGGATAGCCTCATAGCTAGTGGTTTTGGGTTACCCTGTCACCACAATCTTAGTCTCCCATTGAAAGGGGTGGCATTGATTTATGTATTTAGCTACAGGTAAATGGAGATGTAATTATTGTTTGTACACCTGTGATATGAACAGTGGTATATGGGGTATATGCAATTCATCATTGGCAGACTTGTTTTTATTCTGAATGTACACACATCCATCATCCATCAACCTCAGTGATAGTCTATATGGGGAGAGTTGTGCCGTTGCATTTTGAGTGGAAATATCATTCTCCACTCTTTAATGGATCACAATTTGATCTACTATTTAAGGGAGAAAATTGCTCTCCTGCAGAAATGAGAGAATATGCATACATCTTCTGTCTGCTGTATAAACACTTTGACATTCTTCACAATAAAACAGGTGTGCTATTCTGCCCAAAGCAACTATTCAAAAAATAGATTACAGATAGAAAAGCCTGTAAGATGGTCAATGGTATGACTATACAATTGTGTGTATGAAGACCGTAAGCCATCCTGAGGATTGCCTCTGTACTGTGGATCGCCCAGATTCTCTTGTTTCCTGTGGTTGTAAATCTGATTAGGCGTGTTCTCCTTGATGGTGTCAATTTAATCTTTACCTAGCATGCTGCAGGGGTACACACATACAAACATGCATGCACACACACACACACGTGCACACACACACACTCAAACATTTTGGACAGAGCTTAAATCATGCTCTTCTCATAATAGGAACCCCCCAGTAATGCCTTAGTAGGGCCACACCATTAACAAGCCACTGAAGGGAGGGACCGACTGGTAATGTCTGTGGGATAGAGAGGAGGATAGGTGGGAGAATGGAGGGCACTTGTTTCAATTCGGTCCTCCTCTAGGCCCCAGCACCATCTGTCCCTCTCCTGCTCTCCTCTCTCATTCTCTCCATCTCTTTCTGGACGTGGGCTGAAGAACAGGTGGTGGTGAAGAGCTGTGAAACCTGAGAGAGGGCAGGAGTAATCCTTACACCCCACTACTACGGTACATGTCCTAGTTCTGCTATGGGTTACTTTGGATTCTGAAGAACAAAAAAACGACGTAGTGGTGTATGCTAAAGAGCAGAATGCAAAAGTGTGTGTGTGTGTGTGTGTGTGTATGATCATGTTTCAACCATAAAGGTAGACTCAGCGATATGACGTAGATGCAGGAAGTAAATGGCATAGTGGATCAATTACCTCAACAACTAAGAGCGTTGAAGTGTGAAGATCAACTTCTCCGCTGTTTTGGTCCCTTGCAGATACTGTGTGTGTGAGAGCGAGGTCTTGCCAGGGTTTATTCTGCATAGAAAAGTATTGTGTGGGCCGCCTAAGTGTTTTTCGGGCCGTCTATGTTCAAACAGTAAAAAAAGATAATGGATCTATGTGTGTTGTGTGTTTGTGCCTGTGTGTGTGTGTCTCCCTTCACAGTCCACGCTGTTCCATCAGGTGTAGTTGTATCTTTTTTAAAATTTGTATCTGATTTTACTGCTTGCATGAGTTACTTGATGTGGAATAGAGTCCCATGTAGTCATGGCTCTATGTAGTACTGTGCGTATCCCATAGTCTGTTCTGGACTTGGGGACTGTGAAGAGACTTCTGGTGGCATGTCTTGTGAGGTATGCATGAGTGTCTGAGCTGTGTTGTTTAAACAGACAGCTTGGTGCTTTCAACATGTCAATACCTCTCACAAAAACCAGTAGTGATGCAGTCAATCTCTCCTCTACTTTGAGCCAGGAGAGATTGACATGCATGTTATTGATGTTAGCTCTCTGTATACATTTAAGGGCCAGCCGTGCTGCTCTGTTCTGGGCCAACTGTGATTTACCTATGTTACTCTTTGTGGCACTTGACCATATGAATTGGCAGTAGTCCAGGTGTGACAAAACTACGGCCTGTAGGACTTGTTTTGTTGATTGTGATATCAGGAAAGCATAGCAGCGCTTTATTACAGACAGACCTCTCCCCATCTTA